TAAGGAAGAAATTTTTTACGCTGAGGGTGGTGAGGCACTGGCACAGGTTGCCCAGAGAGGTGGTGGATGCCCCATCCCTGGAAACATTCAAGGTGAGGTTGGACGGGGCTCTGAGCAACCTGATCTAGTTGAAGATGTCCCTGCCCATGGCAGGGGGGTTGGACTAGATGACCTTTAGAGGTACCTTCCAACCCAAACTGTTTTATGATTCTACGATCTCCCACACCGGGAGCTGCTCAGCTACATTAACCGTATGGGCTTTTGGTCTTTGCTCCCAAGCACAGAAAGTATGGCCAGCAAAAAGTTGTACAGTCACAGAAATTGCATCTTGGCTCAGGAAACTGGACAAACCTGCAACAGGCAGAATGAAAAATGGGAACCCTAATATATCCTTTTCTTCCCCCCAATTCTGTGCCAATGGCAGTACTGCTGAGCTACAGAATCTGGGCTATAATACACATTTTTAATTAGAGAAGGTAGGTGCCTCAGTGGATGGACTCCTGGATTCTATTACAGACTCCTCATGCACTCTTTCCCCATGGGTCATTTGCACTGGCATCTTAAAAGACTTAATGACATGCAAATTGTCATTAATTTTTTAATTTTTGAAAATTTCAGAGAGAGATGTAAAGAAATGAAAACAATTAAACATCTTGTTTCTGTGCTCTCATTGCAATACAATTTGTATAGATCACAAGTGGGATATAAAAATCTAAACAACATTTTTCAGTGTTCTTCTGGGTATAATGGCACTACCAAGTCCAATACAGTTTTCAAATTCTGTGCTGACTCTGTTTATTCTGTAAATAAAATGGATATAGAGTGTGACAGCAAAATCTTTTGGGTTCTTTACTTATTTTGGCACTTAAATTTACACACTTCTATCTGGCTTTAAAATGAGATAATATCCACAGTTAATTTTAAACCACTTAACTCCTATTTGAATATCAAAGTACAAGTTTCAAACCACTTGAAGCTCTGTAAGTCTCAGAATCCCTGTGGCACTGTGTATCCACATTTAGTCACATCGGTCCTGGGAGACAGAGTCTTTGGAAATGTTAGTTCTGTCTAATTAGAATTACATAGTGCCAGAGACTAGTTTGTTTTTCTGAATGGGAAAACTGGAAGATGACTTTAGAACCTGATACAGCAGAATAAGTAGCTTTCTAGACTGTTTGTCCATTGAAGTTTTGAGAGCTACAGCATCCTGTAGCTGTGGATATTAGTCAAATTCCACAGCACCCAAGTCCATCTCTTTCATTAAAGTAGAGTCCTAAACAAAACTAGCAAAACATTTTTTGGAGAAGAGTTTCTGAGTATATGTGTTGTCTTCCAGAATTTATTTTCAAACTTGGGTCCAATTTTCTGAATGGATTCCCCAAAAAAAGACATTTTTCTCGAGAAAAAAATCACTTTGGGAAGATGTGCTATTCTCCATTATATCCTAACTAGTCATCTTCATAACCCACTGAAAACAAGGGAGATCTGTGTTCCCTTACCTTCACCCATGAGGTCTTAATCTCCAGGTAAAGTCAATCTCTGTTTCTGTTTATTCTCTGTGTCACTCTCAGTTCATGTATTTCACATGGAGTCAGACTTGTAACAGAAGGGACTAAGAGCAGCCTACTGCAGCTTGAGAGTTTGGCCTCAATAGCATGCAAAAGTAGGGGCAAATAAATTAGGTATGAAATGAACCAACACTGGTGTAAGTTTTTCATTAGGCATGCTGAACATTACTGCTTGTTTCGCATCGGGAGGTGCTGGTCCATTACAATCCCAGTAAGAAAGGCATTCAGACTCTGTAAGGTATCAGTCAAAATGTTATGTATTAGAGCTAACACTGTAAGAAGAAAATAGTATAGATAATTTTACATCCCCTTGTATGCTGGGAACCCCAAGCAGTGTAGCATCAAACAAGACTCCAACCCATGTGCAGCACACCATGCAGACCCTGTCAGGAGAAGAGGATCCCCCATTTCAGTCATCCGAGCTATTATAGAATTTTCTTACAAGAAAACAACTCTATTTATCACTTCTACTGTCAAACAGAAAGGATGTTCACATGAGAACTTCTCGCTGCACTGTTGGATACAGGCAAGGCCACGCAGGTGGTGAAATCGCTGGTACCGAGTGGGAGCTGCCTGCAGGCTCCTCCGTGCAATTAGTTGGCAAAGTTTATCGTGCAGCCCAGGGATGTGTGCAGCACAACACAGCCTGAAGGCCACCCTGTACCTGCAGCACAGCCTGGCACAGGGCAAGCCTGGTCATGCTCTGGTTAATCGCTGTGTGGATCACTGACTCCTCCATGTACAGAGGTCTCCGGTCAGGACCACTGCACAGCTTCACCTCTGGTCCCAGTTTCCTCACTGCCAACACGTGCACAGGAGAGACCAGACTGCACTCCCTCCTTCTGCCTGCTGACAGGCAATGATGGAAAATCATTTTTTCATAAATTTAGCAAAGCCCACCTGTACCTGGTCCTGCTTGAAGTTATCTTTCTACACTATGGGTGGCCTGAACCATACACAGTACTCCAGAAGAAATTTCATTAGAAACCATTACTCTCATACTGTGACACATTTCTGTCTCTGCTGGGAAAAAAGCTCAACTGATAAACTTTAGAATTGCATTGGCCTTTTCCACACATACATTACATTGGCAGCTCACAGATATCCTGACCAATTAACGTCTTCAGATCTCTTTAGTCCTCTGTGACTTCCAGCTGAGGCAATCTAATGACATCTTACATCTTATGACCTTACACTTTGTACTACTGAATTTCATCTCTATTACTCTAAGCCTTACTCCTATATAATATTCTAATCCTTCTTTGCAGGGTGGATGCCCCTCAATGTTATGCAGTCGGTAAATTACATTAGCACCTTCTTATTTTTTGAGAATAAGATCACCAGCAAAAAACATTAAATATTGGTCCCAAGACTGTTCCTTTGCTACTAAAATCTCTCCCCTGATTCTTCCCCTCTCAAAACCTGGTATTGCTCATCTAGCCATTGGGCTAGTGTAGGGCTTGTCTGCCCTACACCTTTTGTGTAAATTCTCCATTTTAACTAACAGTTTTCCAGGTGGTAGGGTATCAAATCCAGATGGACTCAATCAGTTGCATTACTATTGCATGGAAAATTATTTATCATGTTATTAAAAAAAATAGGTTACTTGATCTGTTGTTCTTGATTTTGTTCTTGCTCTAGTTGGGTTACATGATTTATTCTTACTGAGCACATTCCATCCAGATTTCCATTTCCCTCCAAATCTTTGATACTTTTTTCTTCAAAACCTGCTTTAAAGCAAAATTTTTCCAAAAGCCTTTCAAGCTATTGACTGTTGGTGCCTAGATCGATTTTTCATTATACAGAAGTATTTGCCTTACCATTATTAGTAACATTTATTCCGCAGTGTCTCTCTGGGAACTGGAAGTGTCCCATAACAAGTCAGTTGCTGGCAGAATTTATTTTCCTTCGTAACATTTTAAAGGTTTCTGTTCGTATTAAAACCTCACCCTGAGAGTCTATAGCAGACTCCTAGAGCTATGCCAACAGAAAATTCTTATCATTTCTTTAAGTGCCTTTGGCACTTACATGGTTTTTCAATCCATAGTATCTCCTGTCATTTTAAATGACATACCAAAACAGATGGTTGTTAAATGTTGCCCCACACTGTACCTGTCAGTCTTTCCTAAACACCACAGATCCTTCAATACCTTTATTCCAATAACGATGGACAGTTTCTGTTATCCTCACTCTATTTAGTTTTGCACCTTGGAAAGGCTTGCCAAAACACCTTGACACATGACTGCTGAAGGACCAGAGAATCGCTCCAACCACAGATAACCCAAAACCAGAAAATTCGACTGAGGTATAATATTTGAGCTCTTGCCATTTAGTTACACAGCCTTTAGAAGCAGATAATATACTTCAAAATATGAGTTAAGTAGTTTGGCCAGGATATTGGCCAAACGGATGCGCCCAATGCCCAGG